GTACAAACAGAAATTTTGCAACTAAGTTTCATTTCTTCAGGAAGCCTTTCCAAACACAGGCAACATGAGGTGCTAGAAACAGAAGCATAAGCACCATGATGTATTTAGCTACAATGTCCAGCTCCACATAGTATCTCCTAAATTAACACTCAGTAAGACTCCCATTTACCTGAAAGGATATCCAAACTGCACAGTGATAGCAGTTGTCTCTTTAGGATTCTCATTGCATTTCACAGTAGCCCCTGTTTCTGCACTGAAAGAACCACAGGCTCCAAAGGCAAATATGGCAAAGAGCTGGAGGAGAAAGCAAAGGAGTTTAGAACTAAATGTGTCTTAGTCGGTAGCAAACAGTGGCACAGGCTCTGGCATCAAATCAAATATCTTTAATACGGTCAGTGACCAGAAAGCAATTTATAAAAATTGCTCTGGCATCATGCAGGACAACAGATCTGGCATCAACTACTATGAACTATCCAAGACCTAAAAAAATCACAATCATCAAGGCTTGTCTTGCAAAACATTAAGATCAGCTCACATGCAAGCCACACTGATAAATGCCACAATCCATGTGCAATCCATGTGCAAAGATAGCCAATTAATTGGGGGGGGGGGAGAGAGAAGCAGACAACATATTACTTTTCATTGAACTATTCATCTTTAATATAATACAACCCAAGATAGTTAAATATGGTTTTTTCTTTTAAAAAAATACACTTCTCATCTGGGTGTGTTATCAGTAACCTCCACAGTACAGTACTAAGTACCTCTCCACTACAATGACAGTAACAAATAAATGTCAAGCTGGATTATGCAGAAAACCAGATTGTGCTAAGGTTCTTAGGTAGAACTTACTGGTTTAAAGAAAATGAATCTTGGGAGTTTATTAATTTCTACAATTATCTGGTACAACAACTGAAAGAGGTCAATTTTTATAAAAATTAAAAAGTAATTTGGTCCAAGTTCACCACCAAACTATATACCAAAGAACAGTTGTTCTCTACATGTTAATAGTTTTTTATTATCAGTACCATTAACCAAGAGTTACATACAATCAGCTCAAAAGCAAATGTCAATGCATTACAAAGCAGAAGTCTGAAACTTAAAATCTCTCTAACTAAGGGTTATTCCAGTTTAGCATATCATGCCAACCAAGAATATACATGCACCGAGATCAGTATTTTGTTTTGCTATTAGGCCCAAGCATGTCTACATACCAACACAGGCCCATACAAAACTAGATTAGGCCTTTTAAGATGCTTCAGCATTACAACAACAGCAAAAATAGTCAGCACTTGCCCCTGTTTTGGTGTATCGGTGCTGCATTATGACACCTAGGTGGTACCAGTGGACAACAGGCCCAGCAACAGCTCAGTTGATAGGATCAAAGCTGCTAAAATCATTGCATATAGCATTCTTGAGAATTAAATGCTCAAACATGAAAGGAACTTGCAGGCAAGGGATATAGCTTTAGCGCGTGTCACTCTTTGCACCACTACAGCTGAAGAACTTCAAAACTTGGCTGTCCAAATACAAGTGCAGGGAAAATGAAACCTATGTGAAATCTGCAAACAAATGAGGTGGGGGCCAGGGCTGCAGCTGTTCATATTTCCGACTATGATGGAAGCATAAATAAAAAATAAAAAGAAATTAATAATGCATTATTATTCCACAAGGGAGCAACTATTTTCCATGACCTCTGTTTCTACACTTATTCCTGCCTTCTGAGAAGCCAAGAGGCCTGGTCTAGTGAGTTTGGGCCAGAGACACTTACAGGAAGTGATCACTATGCCATCCTACATCGCTGGTAGAAACTGAATGAAGCATCAAGCTAAAAATGTCATCGTACAGCAGGGGTAGGCAACCTAAGGCCTGGGGGCTGGATGCGGCCCAATTGCCTTCTCAATCCAGCCTGTGGACGGTCCAGGAATCAGCGTGTTTTTACATGAGTAGAATGTGTCCTTTTATTTAAAACGCATCTCTGGGTTATTTGTGGGGCATAGGAATTTGTTCATTATTATTTTTTCCCCCCAAAATATAGTCTGGCCCACCACCTGGTTTGAGGGACGGCGGACCGGCCCACGGCTGAAAAAGTTTGCTGACCCCTGTCCTACAGTCTGTTCACTAGCCAGTCACATCAACCGACTCCTCCCTCCAGATCCTATCTAAGATCTACATTCATTCAGCAGTTCATGACAGCACCATACTACTCATCGAAGTACTGTATCCATTGTTTCCAGGGGTGGAGGGGGAGCTAAGACCAAGCTGCAAGCATAATTGACTGCACTTAACAAAGTAAGCAGCAACAGTCCAAATGCTGAACTGGTGTAGATTTGAACTACACCCAATTTGGGCCAAATATGTGGAAGAAGTGTAGAAGGAAATAGGGACTGCACTGAAAACAAAGGCATTAAGGGATCTGGCCTCTGTTTCTACTGAGATCCTGCCCTTTGTTTTCCAGGTCTATAAATTGGCAGGACACATAAGAAAAAGATTTTATACTGTATAGGATGGATAATGCTGCAATAGAGCAAAACACCATCTTCACCGTACCATCACCACAACAGATGGCCTGATCAAGCCATGCACAAATGCTTCCACAATCATTGGGGGTGGGGGGAGAACATGCAAAAAGAGATCCTAACACAGCACAGGAGAACTACTTATTTAATTATACCATGCTCCTTCAGGAACTATTTGTATTATTATCCAAGCTGCATAATTGGATGCTACTAAGGCTATTTATTCCATTCAAAGAATCCAAAACCCATTTTAAGATCTCAAGTCTGGTGCTTGCCTTACTCTTTTTTTTAAGGGGGGGGGAGCCATCAATGGATGCCCCTCTCTTTTTAAGTCACATACGTTTTTGGCCTATGCCCCAAAATGAAAACCTCTTAAGACTGATTTATACCACCATTTTTCCCCCCACAAAGAGGCAGACAGGCTATAGAGACTTAGTGAGCTATAGAGTTGGCCAGACAACATAATGGAATGTGCAATGTAATCTGTTGCTTATAGGGAGAAGAGCCATATTCACAAAAATTGAGGTGCACACAGAAATAACCAAGTAGGCAAATACTGCACATCGGAGAAGGCATGAACACTAATACTGCTTCACAGAAAGCAAGTCATTGTGTTGTCATTAGTCTTTGATGCTGCATTGTTCCCATGATCCACTGCTTTAATCGGCCAATTTTTTCATGAGGTCCCTGCTGATGCAGGTATGGGAAGCTACCAGGTATCACTGGACACCAGCTCCCACCAGTCCCAACCCACTCGGCCAGTTCTCAGAGATTATGGGAGTTGTAGTCCAATGACACCTGGGGACAGACTGGAGAAACAGGAAATGTTGGCTTGCCCTGCCTGCCCTTGGCACTGCCATACCTGCTGGAACTGGTGTTGCTTCTCTGCCTGCCCTCCCATTAGTATAGAAGCGATGCCAGCACTGGCGCCAATTTTGGGTGAGATCTCGCCAAAATCGCACAAGATCTTGCGCTCTCTGTAAGATCTCTTGCAATTTCAGCCAATACCAGCATCACATCTGGTGCCTTGGTGGCTCCTGCCAGCTGAGGCAGGTACCTCAGTCTGCCTAATAGCAGAGCCTGCTCGGTCTGGAGGGCAACATATCCCCCATCCCTGTCCTATAGCAACACCTGTAAAGTCAGAACTGTGCTGGTTGGAGCTGATGGGACTTGAAGTCCAAAGTAGATGGAGGACACCAGATTGGAAAAGGTTCTCTTATGCTCTTCAGTATTTGTGATGTGTCCACACTGACCTTCAACCTATCCAAGACTGCACGTTCTTATGAAATGGATGCCAGCTCAGTTCTGTTTTGTTACTGTCAACCCTCTGCCTTTGATTTAAGTTTTGTCACCAGGTAGCTGTCGAGTGGGGACGCAGGTGGCACTGTGGGTTAAACCACAGAGCCTAGGACTTGCCAATCAGAAGGTTGGCGGTTCGAATCCCCGCGATGGGGTGAGCTTCCGTTGCTTGGTCCCTGCTCCTGCCAACCTAGCAGTTTGAAAGCACATCAAAGTGCAAGTAGATAAATAGGCACTGCTTCAGCGGGAAGGTAAACGTTTCCATGCGCTGCTCTGGTTCGCCAGAAGCGGCTTTGTCATGCTGGCCACATGACCTGGAAGCTGTACGCAGGCTCCCTCGGCCAATAAAGCGAGATGAGCGCCGCAACCTCAGAGTCGGTCATACCATCTCCTTTTGGCTAAAAGGGGGGTGGGATCCACTTGAAATACCTGTCATGTTGTGCCAACATGTGCATTTAGTGAAAGTAAATGCAGGTTCCATGTGTTACAACTGTATTGTGGAGCTACTTAGGGAAAAGTACATATCTTAGAGTTTTTCTTTTCTTTTCTTGTAGGTGAGAACAAGGGCTCTTCCCTTTTCAAGAAGACATTTAGCTCTAAAAATTCCATTCTCATTCTTGCAGGGACAGAAATTTGGGCATTTTCATGGCCACCCATTAATCTTAGGGAAATACCCCGAGCCCCTCCAACCCTTGGGCTCCAAACTGGGGACTAAATAAGACCAGGGCTTCTAAGCTCCCCTTGGGAAGCCTGAGAAGAGAGCGAATCCGTGAGCTCAGGGACAAGTTAAGGCGCGGTATGTGCAGGATCAGAACTCCAGAAAGGTTAAACCCGCCCGAGTGAAATGTGAGCGCTGCTAACGCCAGCTCCCATGCATACCCCAGTCCACGAATCCAGACTCCTTGCACATAGAAGGGCTGCCTTAGAGGGCAGGCACTCGGGCGTCTCCCTCCCGCCCTCCCTCCCAAGTCTGCCCCTGCACGCTGCCTCCGGCTCGCAGCCAGAAAGTCGGCTCGCAGGGTCCCACAGCTGGAGAAGGGACGCCCCCTTTCTTCAAGTCCCCCTGATCTCCGAGGGCCTGGTCTCTCAGCGCGTTTGCTGGACGGCAGCGTCCCCTTCCTCTCTCTCGCACCCCCCCACCCCACCCCCCCAAAAAAAAGTTGCACGGGAGGCCGAACTTACCCACTCCAGCACTTTAATGAATCCCAGGGGCTCCTCCAAGCGGCCCCAACGCAGCCCCAAGAGCAGCTGGGCCTGGCGAGGGAAGCAAAAAAAAGGGGAGGAGGGAAGGAGAAACAAGGGCAGGGAGTTCAGGTCAGCCAGGAGGGAAAGCCCAAAGAAGAGGAGGAGGGGAAGGGGCGTCGGAAAGAGGAGAGAGAACAATGCGGGGGAGGGAGGGAAGAGAAGAGCGACGGGGAGAGAAAGTAGCCAAGAAAGGGCGCCCTACCACCGGGCTCTGGGACTCCTTGTCCGCCGCCGCCGCCGCCCCCCTCTGGGCTCTGGGCTCCGACATTCTCGGCGAGGAGCTGCTGCTGGTGACGGTGGTCGTCTGCACGGCAGTGGCTGCGGGGAGCGCGGCTTCCTTGCTTCTCCGCCGCGCGGACGGAGGAGTGGTCCAGGCGAGGGGAGCCGGGGCTGACGACGGCCGGGGCTGCAGAGGCGCCTGCTGCTGCTGCTGCTGCTGCTGCTCCCTCCTCCGCGGAGCTGCGGGGGAAAAAGCCCCGTCGAAAGTCCTGTCAAACTCGCAAGTGGAGGCGCGGGTGGGGAGGGGGAGAGGGAGCGCGTCACGCGGCGGCGGGCGCACATGGAGCTTGGCGCCCCCCCGCGGGCTGTGGGCGGAGCCTCTTGCCAGGCGGCTCCGCCTTCCCCCTCGAAGGGACGGGCGGCGAAGGCGATCCGGATCTGCTCTTAAGTCTTTCTTAAGCGGCCTCGCTCGTCTCGAGGGTTGGGACGTGCCGGTGGGGCTTCTTGACTGACAGTGCAATCCTAGCCATATTTGTGCAGGTATAAGCCCTGCATAGGGGGCTGGACTAGATGACCCTGTGGACCCTCTAGTAAAATCAGTCAGTGCGGAATCAGTGCTTTAGGTAATCAGTGCTTTAGGTAACGTGGGGTTAGGATCGCAGCCTCAGTGCGGGCACAGAAAGACCACCAAACTCTGATGAAGTGTACTGAGTTTTGAAAGCCTGGTTGTTTCAGTTGAGCTGTAACACTTATAAATAAAAAAAAAGGTGGCTAATATCTCCTAAACTAAAACTAAACTAAACTAAACTAAACTAAACTAAAAGCATGTTAAACTCCAAGCAGAAGACCTTTAAACAAACGTGTTGTACTGCTGCTGTTTGCTTAACAAATTCAGTAAGAAATTTTGTTTTCAAAACACACAACTGTTTGATGGGGAGGAAACCATGTAGGTGACTTGCTCCCACCCTTGGCTTCCTGTTGTCTGTCTTGTTCACTTTTATGCAAGCCAAGAGTGCCAGCCAGCGCTCCTTGTTGCTTATCAGATATAAATATTTAGTTGGATTGTGTTCCTGTGCCCCCAGACCAATAAGATTCAAATGGAAGAAGGCTGGACTTGGGTTTTTTTGATATTCTTGCACAGCTCTCTACCAGAATGAATCTGTACATTCCTCATCCCCAGTGGATTCATCCTACTCCCTTCTTCCTTTATTGTTATTTATGAAGGCTGGTGGTGTGGGGCTGACTACAGTCATAATAGCAAAAAATGTGCCTAACGTTTCATATTTACGAGGAACAAAAATGCTAGGAAAATGGGTTGCATCCAAGTAAGTGTTACTTGGAGTAGACCGACTAAAATTACTGTACCTAAGTTCATCATGTCCATTAATTACAGTGGTTCTGCTCATGAGTATGACTAACATTCAATACAATCCCCTGTAATACAGAATTTCCAGTAGAGTAGACATGTTTGTCTGTTGCAGCAAAAACAACACACCTTACTCCAGCTTGTGCAAGGGAAATTCCTTTCCTTCTCCTCCCTCTACATGCCCCTCATACCCCTCAAAACTGCTCTGGGTTTTCCCCAACCCTCTGGAGCAGATCTGGGGAGGTGTGGGGACAGATGGGAGGAGGAGAGGGAGGGGAAGTTTTGTGGTAAGAGCCAAAGTCTTTCCACTTGTGCAATGACTTCGTTGGAGTCATCATTCAACCCCATGTTGTTTTTCTAGCAATAAGTATGTAACCCTGGAGAAGTGACTGGTGCCCCATCTAAGAGGCTTCTCAGTTGTAGGTAGTATGGTATCTTTAGTCACAAAAATGTGGCAAGCTTTTGTGTTCTCTTGAACTCCTCAACATGGAAGATGTTGCACAAAGGGGATGGTTTTCTTCGTCCCACCACTTTGTGTTACATCTTGCCAAATGAAGAGTTCTGGAAAACTCAGAAGGATGTCATGTTTTTGTGCCTTTGGGGTTAGTCCTAATAAAAGGTAAACCTAACTACAGACTTTGCAGGGTGTATTTTTTTTTATCATTGTCACCTTTGTATTTTATCTCCCAAGGGAGGCTCAAAGTGGCCCTGAATCCAGTGTCATTTCAGCATCAATCCTTTTATTTGCCCAGGTATTTTAGGTAATATGTTCTCCAATGTTTTACTTTGCTATTGTATCTCTGCTGCTATTACTTTTTAATGATTTTTAAATATTTTTTTTTTTTTTTATAAATCATATTTATTAAAGTTTCCAAAATACAGAAAGTAAAAATAAAACAAAAGTGAAATACATTCAAAACGTTATTTTCATTACCCACTTTCTGGGACTCCCCCCTCCCCCATCCCTACCATATTCCCCATTCATAACGTTGATTCTACAAGCTCTCACTCCCAATTTAGAACTTAATTTGTTTAACCCCATATTCAAAATTGAATTTATACAGTCGTCATCATTGCCTTAAATAAAAATCAAAAATTCTCTCCCCAGGGTCCACCCCATTTTCCTTCCACGAATTCCCCTTTTTTTAATAGAAACGCCCCAACCAAGTATAAAAAGCTATATAAAGATAAAAAAGATAAGAAGTGTATATAAAAAAAAAAGTTCAGAAAATAGTTACACAGCCTTTGGATTCTAAATCTCCCCCCCCCTCTTCCCCGGTTTAGATTCCCCATGTCCATCAGTCTGTCTGTTGTCTGCCTGGAAATCTTGGATCCATAATCAGATTTTCCCTCAATTCCTTGCCAGTTTTTTTTTTAAAGTTATTTTTATAACATTTAATTTCAAGTTTCCAGTCCAAATTTAAAGCTCCCCCATTGTTCTTTCCATGTTGTAGTCCAGTTTCTTGTCTTGTTCCGCTGCTAAAACGTTCTAATTCAGAAATTTAGTAACTCTACAGGGGTTGTTGTTGTTCAGGAACAAAAACTTACGTTCAGTCCCTTCCTTTCTTCAATAGAAAAATTCTATTGTCTCCTTTAATGTAAACACCCCTGTAGACAAAATACTGTTTCAGTTTTGCAGCTTTCCCAAGAGATAACAAGTCCTGTAGAATTCCAAGAGTATTTTTCCACTTACGACCATCTTTGTAATGTCCTGAAACCCCTCTAGGGGGATTGTAATAACTTTGTTTCCCCTGGTCCAAGAGTCCGATTGTTGTTCCATATTTTCGCCATTTTATATCCAAATCGTAGCAATTTGTAACGAAATTAACTAGCAAAGCCCTCGTAACAAAGTCCTCTTTAAATTTTCCGACTTTGACAGCTACTTTGACAGCTGTCAAAGCCTCCGTCTCTTTTCACCAGGCTCTCTCGCGAATCGCCCCGGTTCCCGGGGGGTGGGTTACATTTTCCTTCTCCCTCCACTCTTCTCCTCCAGCACAGTCGTTGTAGTTTTCCATCGTGGAATTCTCAATTTTTGTCCGAAATAGACTTCTTTCTGGACCTTGGTTACTCAGTCCTTGTTTTAACATGTTTACAGTAGGGAGGGGGACTGACTTCCTTTTTGGATCCCCCCCCCCCGCTCGTGCCAAATCCGAAAAAAAAATTCTTTTTTTCTCCTTTTAAACCCAGTTTCCAAATTACTCATGGGTTGTTGTTAAAAGTCCGAATTTTCAATGGAAGAAGTCAGCGCTCTCCGCCGGATGGCATGCGGCTTCGCTCGGCAGGGAAAGCAGAGGACTCAAAGCACCACGCCGCTCCCCGGCACCCGATCCGTAGCCTTTAAAAAGGCTCCTTCACGAGTCGGGAGGGCGCTAACGGTGCCAGCTGAGTCACCCATGTCCACGGCCTCCGTGGCCGTGGTTTTTAAGGGTCCCCGCGTCGCCGGCGCGGTAGGACCCAGCCCCTGCCGAGCAGGCTCCCTCCGGAGCTCGGAGGGAGTCCGCCATTCGGCGATGGCGCCAACCCGGAAGTCCGATTTTAAAATATTTTTTTTAAAAGGTTACTGTTGAAGTTTTTTTGCATTTATTGCAGTTGTGCTTTTAAGGTTATTCTTAGCCACTCTGGGCAGTTTTGCACCTGAAGCATGAAGAGGAAGAGAATCTTTTACAGAAATAAAAATAAACATAATAACTTAAAGACAGATATGTGGGTCCTGCATGACAGATGGGAAACTAATACACATTTATAGTTGTGATTAAGCTATGAGCAGTGTGACATTAAATATGTAAATAAGATGAATGGGAATGTGCTTCACTCACACCATACTGGAGAGTGCACATCTGGATGCACATCTGCATCCTCTCTGTGTGTTCAGCACTGCACATCTGGTTCCTTATCCAGCATCAGAAACCTGTTTACGCAGATCCTGAGACAGCAGAGGGAACAGTGGGCCTGAAGCCTGCTTCCATGAATGGATCTCCTTTACTTGCAGGAGGTGCCTGAGTTTTTCACAGCCACAACTTTAAACTAACCATCCCACACCCATGATGGTTCTCCTAGCACAAATGAAAGGATAGTAATGCCAGCGAGAAGGTAAAGCTATTTAAATAAAAGTCCTAACACCTAGATCTTCACGTTTCTGATGTGTACAGAATTTGTACCTACTACCATTTGGCTGACATTATGTTTTCTGTGTGTCTAAGGTTGCTATCTTTTTCCCTAGCAGCTCTCCTTAGCATTGACAGTGGTGCCTATATTGTGCTGGTAAAATTAAATTCTGGAAATATTTGGGGAATGAGATGTTGCATAATGTATGGCACCTAAAATGTCAACGTGTGTCTTCCAAGCATTTTGATGTTCTGATTCTGCACAGCAAGCTGCCAATTCACAACAGTGCTATGAATCTGTTCATTTAAAAATCAAATATGCCTATTTCCCAGCTCAAAGGTTTTCTGGGAGGCCTAAAAAAAACCATAAACTTAACATTCTAGTGTAGCAAATCCAAAGTTGAGCTTCTGAGCACCAACTCAGCTTATACAGCTTGGTATATTTTTTAGCAGGAGCCAACCAGCCTGCCAATCTGGTCTCTTTCCAAACGGAGTTAATTATTTTCTCCCTGGTATCATCAGCTCATGTCATTCTATTAATAAAACAGCAACTTCAGGCCTGGATTTGATTGGTCAGTTCATTTGGACTTTATTTTCAGAGGTACTAAGCTGGTGCTGGTAGGAGCTATGGTTTGTACTCCTGTAAAAATGAAACCTTAGTTTTCCAATTGCGCTCTGAAAAGATGGGGCATCCAGCCTGGCATTGCATAAAGCCACTATTTGGCATTCAGAATACCCAGGGTGCATTTGCTTATGGATACTTATTAGATTCATAAAACTGTGACATTTAATCTTGTTAAGGCAAGTGAGAAACAGAGGCTGCTCACAGTTGCGGGCAAAGGACATCATAGAATATCATGGTTAGTGGAATCTAGTTCTTTCTATAGCTGGCTGTACACAAATGCATGAA